TCTGGTCCTGATCTGACTCTGGTCCAGGCTTGTTCTGGGGCTAGTTTTGGTCCAACCCTGGTCCGGACTTTTTGGGGTCTCGTCTTGGTCTGGTCTGGTCCCAGGTCAGCAACATGGAGATTGACCAGTATGAAGAAAATTTTCCGTCCAGTTTTATGTCCTGGCCTTTTTTGAAGTTAGAATATATTAATACAGTCTTTCTTATTTCTGTTTTTGAAATGAAATACCATAAAAATGTCATTAAATTGAACAAAGCAATATTTTCAATGTCTAAAATCTCTTACTTTGCTGCAGGACTTACAAACCTTGTCAATGTTTATGATAAGTCTTGCATTGTTCCCCTTGTCTCAGATATGTTGTCCCCAGGCGCCGCGCTGTTGCTGCTTCTTGGCACTACTGCACATATTATTTGTGTTTGTCGCCGCTGAAAGAATTTATCTTCCGAGCATTGACTTGCTGTCCCACTTCTTCATCCCTCTTCCAATAGCAAATTATTTTTATGTCTCCTCCAGTGAACAGCTGAGGAAACCGGCTGCTCAATCAATAAGCCCGCTCCATTTTATTTGTTTTATTGAATCGCTGAAAGTATTTTTACACTTGCAGCTCACCGCAGGGAGAGGTGAATTGCTTTTTATTAAGGGTATAAAATTATGTTATACAAAATCTCTTCAAAGTTCCATTATCTAAAATATAGTTTCTTTCACACTTGAGTAATGTTGTACGTGTTTTGGGCAGTGTGGCTGCAGCTCGAGTCCGGACTAGAATCAGGAAGTACGATCACATTGGTCCAGTTCTCTGGCAGCTGTGACAAGTTAGTGCCATTTTAACCAACTTGGACACCGAGGACTGAGGACTGGCCTCTAACTGGTGCCCAGAATCTGGACTAAACATGGGGAGGCAGATTTATGATATAGCTTCACTATACACATCCTAAGTAAGTAAGTAAGTAATCTTTATTTATATAGCGCCTTTCTCAGACCAGAGTCACAAAGCGCTTTACAATTTTTTATTGGGGGGCATTTGTCTTTCACTTCACACAGAGATGAGAGCGAGGTCGCCAGATCAGGAGGCGTAAGCCAGATCTATTGTACATATATTTAATGGTAGGGGAAACAGGAGCACCTTGAGGAAACCTACCCGACCATGGGGAGAACATGCCAACTCCACTCAGAAAGTTCCTGTCCTGAATGGGATTCGAACCCGGGACCTTCTTGCTGAGAAGCGAAAGTGCTATCCACTCAGCCACCGTGTTATATCATGATCAATCTAAACAAGCTGTAGATTAAACTACTACTTTAAAACAATGCTATTTTTTTTCAGAAGAATGTTTGCAGACTTAACCATTTCTAAATTACTTGACTCAATGTGATCCCGTCAATATGCATTGTGCCAAGATTCCGACTGGGCACTTTGAACGGAACATTGTCAAATTGAAAATTGTTTTCTCAAACTCAATTCTGAATTCTACAATATTCCATGGTTTGACACAAACCATAAGACACAAACCATAAGAGCAGTGAATGAGCTCTTTTTCAATGATTTCAACGAACTAACGAACAAACGTAATTACAAAATCTACCTTATGACATTCCATCTGCCTTTTTGTACAGCATGGAGAGGCAGCTTTAGATATGTGCAGCTAAAACCTGGGCAAGTCTTCCTTAAAAACACGAGACAGGCTTCTACTCTGACAGAGTTCAAATCCAAATTGTGTAGCTTTGCATACAACTAAGGGATTGTATCTTCACTCTTTTTAATGCACTGTGATTTCTATGATTTTATGCATTGTGCGATTGTTTCCATCTTGTTGTGTGAAGCACTTTGAGTTTCCTTATGAACTGTGCTATACAAATAAACTTGCCTTGCCTATAGCAGTCACAAGCCAGGTCCCACAGCTCAAAATGTAAGTGGTTAGTTTATGAATAGACTGACTGAAAAAGCAATGAATCACATCCACTCAGAATAACTTTGTGCCTTCTAAATGTGGCATGACTCATAAAAAACTCACCATGATCATAAGCCCTTTCATAAAATCTCCTTTTAATCGAAGCCAGTTCTACAGTAATCATTGCCCAGTCTTATGCCTGGCCAGTCGAGACCTGATATTGCAGCCAAATTGGATAGTTTCTTAAAAATGGTAACAGTGCAGTGCTTAGTTTCTTATTGTTATTTTTTGACACTAGAGAGATATAACAGGTTTTCTTAAATACTCTATTATGTATGTGTAACAAAACACACACACACACACACACACAACACAGGTCAATCATTCAACCAATCATTATTTGTATATAATTTGTTGTCCACGTCACACAAGGCATAAATCATCACATACCAGACACTAAAACACAATTAATATCACACAGGTAATTAAAACCATTAAAACCTCACACAAGGGATAAGAATTATAAATAACCACAGTGCATTAAAAATAGAGATAAAATCCTTATGTTGTATGCACGGACAAACAGAACCGCCTTTAACCTGGACCAACACCACACGAAACATGCAAGTTCAATGTAATGTCGATTTAGATTTGTTGACTCGCGACAACCATCTTTTTGGTGGCTGTAGCTTCGAACTCTTTGGTGCGTCCTGCTGAGACCGATTTGAGTAATGTCTTTCAACAGAAGGACCAGGGTAGAGCAGGGAAACAGGACTCCAGTGACTATCTCCCAGAACCAAACGACCTCAGGGCCATCCCGAGCCACCGTGGCACCAAGTACTTCTATTTACACTCATGACAAAACGTCTACGAGGAGTCGTACAAGTCCTGTGTTTAGTATAGTTTATTATTCAGATCCCCATTAGCCGAGTTACTACTTTGTAAAGAGTGATCAACTTCAGAATCAGAATATTTTTTTTGCTATTGTAAGTAACAGGAAGTCACAAATTAGGAAATTGCTTTGGCTCTTGGTGCAAAAAAGCTCTATAAGTAAAAATGGAATAAGGCATGCATGAAAAGGAATAAAAAAATCTACATATTTCTTAAAATGACTACTATATACAAGTGCATTAAGTACACACAATAGACTGAATTCAAAGTCAATATATTGGCCCATAGATGGACTATTCATAAAAACAAAGACCTCTCTAGTCTTAGACCTCCTGTGTGCCCAAAAATACAAGGAAATAGAGAGTTCTATGAAAGTCGTTGCAGGATTATGTGTGAGAGGCAGCGTTATACTGCACTAGAGGCATAAGCTGCAGTTGGAAACACTGTTGCAGAATGGCAGACGGTAGGAGTTTTATCACAGGAGAACTTTATACAGTATCAGAACAGGACCTGAAACCACATCCATGTCGTGTCCAGTTCTGTCCAGGGAATAGAAAAGGCTAATGAGGGAAGCCCTGTAAAACCATGCGTCACTCATAACCGTTTGATACGACACCTCTGCGTGCCATTTCTTCATCACCACGTCTTTGAATGGTTCTGAGGCGTAAACATCGCAGTCACCCAGCACTTACAATCCTATCACACAAGACTCGCAAAACCGCATCCACTTTAATTAAAAGTGCAAAGAGAAGCACTGTCAAATCCCTCTGTCCTCATTTGTCTGCTCGTCGGTCCAATAATGTTCTCGAGTGGTTTTGCTGCACTGATTTAGCACCTGGCAGCCGGACACTTCTAATCACATCACTGTCAGTTATGTAATGAATATAACCAGGAAGAAAGCTGACCTGCGCTGTCCCCTCATTAATCCTGTTTTTCTTTGGCCTGCGTGAAGCGCTCCCCAAGGCTTCCCGATAGCACACGAGAGGGAGAAGAAAAGGGGGGGGTAAAGCAGCCAAAGAGATCGCCTCAGATAAATACATATGAGATACAACTACTTAATCCGTCATGGCCCTTTGGCGTCGCATTACACCCGCTCGCTTAAAAACAGTAAATATTCCGTCGTGCTGATTGTGGCATGACAGGACTGTTCAACGGCAGCCCTCAGAAACTCATTAGAAAATCAATGAGCTATTCGCTGTGTACGCTCAAAGATTGATTTCCCAGCCTGGATTTATATAACTGTCTGCATGTGGGTGATTATGAGCGCGGTTCTTCTGACGCACAATGGAAGAAAACAGTGGCATTTCTTTTGACGGCAATTTGAGTGTATGTAAAAAGGGGAGGGTGGATGTGTGTGTGTGGATGTGTTTCAATAACATCCGTTAACACAGCGATTCAAGGGTTTAACGTATTTGTTGTTCTTCGGCTGTGATGCCGATTTGAACCTCTAGCGCAGATTTTTCTTTGCACAGCTCTCAAGTGGAGTTTAAATATGCGCATACTGCTTTCTTACCAGCTCGTACTAACTATGTTTACTTTGGATTCATTGGTTTTTAATTCATAATTCCTTTGACTCTGAACAAGCTTTTCCAATGGCCTATATGTAACTGTTTACATAAGGGTTGTTTTTCAATTAAATTAGGAAGTAATGTTTGTTTATGGAGCGCATTTCATGGTCCAAGGTCACAGAAAGCTCTTCACAATTGTGTTAATCGATTAGTGACAAAAACTACAAAGTACAAATCCATTGTTACTTCTGTGCTTTTTTTTGGTGACTTTTTACTTTTCCTCTCCTTACTTTTATACGTAAATAAGTATATGTAAGCCTTACATTGAAAAATGTGGTTGTTACATTATGTATATTTAATTTAAAAAAGACAAGGGAAAAGTTTAGGTCACATGATGCAGAGAGTAACACATGGCATCTCCAGTCAGGGGAGCCACAGCAACACCCAAAGCTTTCTTGTTGGTCAATTCCTGAAGTAACGATCGCATTTTTCAATGTAAGGCTTACAGATATTTATGTATAAAAGTATAAAAGGAGAGGAAAAGTTAAGAGTCACAGAAGTAACAATGGATTTTTACTTTGGGACAGACCACCTCCTGTATGGCAATGGCATTTCTGAGAATATTTTTGTCACTTTGCCATTGCATTTGCGACACACTTGAATTTATGCAAGTTGTATATACATAATCCTGAAATTCATTTATTTTGCCTTTTCAGAATCCAAAAGGAGCTAGCAGAGATCACCCTGGACCCGCCTCCAAACTGCAGGTAGGAGCTAGCTCATGTTTGCTGTGACACCTGAGGCTCCTGTGGCCTTGTGTGTCCTTGTGTGTGCGTCTGTGTGCGCTTCTGTGTGTCTGTGCGCGCTTAAGTGCGTTTGTGTGCCATGTGGGGAACGTGAACACAACGCTGGCTCTGTGACTCACATGAATTGCATTGGCAGATTATTGCATGTTTACATTAGCCCTGGAGCAGTGAATGGCCCTTGTTTGGCATGAATGAGTTGGAGGATAATATAGGTAGGTGTGATAGCCCTGATCGGCATTGTTTACTATTGGGAGGGCCGTTGCGTCGCTGTTCTGTTTGCTCGCACTCCCAAAAGGGCTGGTGTTTGTTTTGAATTCGGCCTTGAGGGTGCAGAAAACAAGAGGTGACTTCTTGCCAATCTCTGCTGGAGTAAGAGCCCTCGTTGTTGGCTGTTCGGTCTACTCAGCGTTTGTTATTCTAGAGTCATTTGTTACCGTGCCAGGGGGAGAGAGCAGAGGCACCAAGCACACGGACAGCCCAGGTTTAAATGCTTCTTGATAGTTCCCGAGACAATACAGCCGACCCGCTAAGTGAATTTGTGTTAACCCCTTACTAGGCCCACCTTTCTTCTCTAAAAAGCTTCCAAAATTCTGTATAAAATGAAAGTGAATCTGTCTGAGAACCCTTTGGAGCACAAACATAAGGCTGGGCTTTTTGTAAAGCTGATAACCTGTAGTTTTGGTATAGTTTAGTTAAAAGTGGGAGTAAGAAACTGCAAACTCCAAAGGCCGCCTAAATACTCCTGTGGTCAAAATTCCATGGCCAATATTTCATTGTCAATATAAAGGAGAGAATAGCTCTGTGGATTGGATGTATTTAAATTTTACAATTCACAACTTTACCAATTTCTGATACATTTAGATTGTGTGCATATCTTGGTGAAAAAAGGAAGACACCATGCAAAGCTTATAGATGTGAGTCCGTCATTGCAAATAATATTAGACAGCAGAATGACCACAATTTCCCCTCACAGCTGAGAAAATTTAGAAGCCTGGAAAAAGCAAAACGCTACTATGTAAAATCCCTATTGACTTTATTCCTTTTTACTCTTTTATCCCAGAATGTTTGATTTGACATATTTATTTCAGTCTTTCGCTTACTGTATCCATTAGTGTGATATTATATATAGTTAGATTACATCAGTTGACGAAGGGGACAACAATTTGGAAGTCCATCAAGACAGCTATTGTGATATTATCCATATTGCATAGTTTCCTCTATTGTGGCTTGATCTTCCATGTTTATTATCTCATGTTACTTCATGGATGCATAGCTGTAAAAGATGCCTTCATGGATATAGTGAAAAGCTGAATCAATCACTCCTGTGCATATCAAACATTGAAAAGTTTGTTCAGTTGAAATGGCTGCATTTCTTTTTCTTGACTGATCTCTTTGAGACACAAAAGAAACTGGAGATGTAATTTTGCCAATCCACACGCCGCAAACAGCCTGTCGCGGAGATGCAGGCATTTCCTGTAGGCTTGAGGAAAAAAAAGGGGAACTCAATGATGCGTGCATGCTTCCAAGCTCAAAAATGTGGCCGCTCTGAGCTCAAAGCCAATCTTGAAGTATTTTACAAGTCTCTAGAAGGGCTTCCTCTCTCACTCTGCCAAACTGACGGGTAATTCGAAACTCTGCGTGGGGGTGAAAGTTATATCTGCTCAGTATCTATTTTCATCTGGAGCTTCTCACCTAAACCGCTGAACGCTACAGCTGTACTTTGTTCAACAGAAATGCATGCAATGTTTGTACAACATTAGGATTCCATACGGAGTACAGTATTGTTTGCTTAAGAGTGGTTGGGTGCAAAACCTGGCAGATGTAAACATGCCAGACCACACACATAGTTTTAAAAGAATATGTTTAGGAAGTTACTCTGAAGAAATAAAACAATGGAAGTGCAAGTATGTCTCTTGGGGTAAACCCAGCTAAGATTTTTTTTATGGAATGCAATTGTCAGGTCTTTTTAGTGTAAAAGAATGATTAAAATATGATAACAAATGTGTTTTTTATTCGCTGTGTATATTTTGGTTGCTAACATTATCAATTTTGTGTTGATTATTTAAACATTTGTTAGTTTAGTTTATTATGTCTTCGGTCAAAAAATAACCCCATGACCAATGTCGTAACATTTTAGTTTGCTTTGTGTAGAGGATCAGCCACTTCATAGATTGTTTTTTATTCATATTTATATAACTGTTTAAAACTGTAGGGCTGTGCAGAAATGCTATTTCCACAGGACTAGTGTGCATGAGATTTCCACAAGAATATGGTTTCAGTTTAAAATTCGATGTATTACTTTTTGGAAATATGCCTTCTGATAATGTGTAACTTAGCCTTTGTCTTAACCAAATGTCAAAACTAAAAAAAAAAAACCGTTTCCTCCATGTGCAATAATGTGTGTTATTTTCTCTATAAAACGGAGCTGCTGGCTGTGAACATAGCTGTAATTTGTGTCTTACTCATTGATTTTCCTTTTTAAATGTCTTTATAGTCTGCGCCATACAAAGGTCAAATAAACAGTAAATTTCTTACAATTTATTGCCGCCTTCTCTCCCACAGATAAAAGAGCATTTATGTTAACTGGTTGTGAGATCAGCTTCAGAACAAATTATGGCGAAGGCACTGTTAAAACTCCTTAAGCTTTTTGTTCAGATCAATCTTTTTTAATACCATCATTGCTGAGTGTGGGTTAAGCATTTTAACTTTCCTTTGGGATAATTTCTGAGTAATCAGCAATTTGTGTTGCCGCTTCTCTTAGCCTCCAGAGAGAGCATTATACCAAAGGTCATTGTATATTTAATGCAATCAAAGCCTCAAAATGCACAAAACGCGTGTTAGGATTCAGCATAACATGCATATATTTTAGCAGTTTTAGAATATTGCTTTTCAAATGACTATGGATGCCCTACTTGTCAAATAATGTTTCTGTCTGACAAAACAAAAGATACTTCCTTGTTCCATAGACAAAGCTTCATAAAACTCTAACTAAATGATTTATTTCCCCCCAAATGCAAGAATTTTGCTTTTGTCTGGTCATCTTTGAAAATAAATTGAATAATGGCAGTCTTTTCGATTTGCTAGTGTGACCACAAATAATACATTTTGATTTGATTGCGAGTAATTGTGCAGCCCTTGTTCAGACCATGTAATCAATAGACAAGTCTTATTTTGTTTTTTATCCTGGACTCAGAATATACTTATTCTGCAGTACTTTTTAAAATTATGTCACATCAGCCATGGACATGGACACTCATCCCCACAATCGTTGCCATGTCTTCCTGTCCCCATTCCCCACCATCTCTGAAGCAGTGGAAGTTAAAGTTTATTGGCAAAGGTCGTATCTTCAGAGCAGGCTGTTGATCTTCACCCTGCCCTCTTTAGCAGCTGAGGAATGTATTTAAAGATCTCCGTGACACAGTGGGCATGTCGCACTGTGTTTGTCGCCTGTCGAGTCTCAAAGACAAGCCTAATCTGGATGAAGAAAACCATTATGTTTCCTGACAAAGGGGGGCCAAACAGTGGAGAGGGAAGGGGAGATTTCACGGCCAACGTTTGTGTTTAAAGTGGCGAAGGGGTGATGGGGACGAGCTGGCTGAAAAGAGCTCTTGTGACGAGTGCATTCAGGGAGTTCCCGGTCATAAGTGATGTATACACGAGCACTGGGAGCACGCACAACAGGAAAGCATGTGACCCTTATGATTGATTATGATTTGCTTTTTCTGTTTGCACAATGCATTTGGAAGCTACCATCGTAAACACATCAGTCAGAACAAACACCAAAGTTAAGCACAGCATATGATTTGTAAAGAAATGTATAATTTTGTACAAGTCAAAATCTCTTACCTGTGATCGATCCACTCCATATGGTCTCCAGCACTTTCTCTGGAGTCTATTTATCAGATTCAGTTAATACAGTGGTAGCTTTGGGAGATTGGTCATTTGTTAGAAATTACATGTTAAAGATTTGGATTCTGTATTTTTGCGACATTTGCAAAGGCTAATCCATATATCGGGTGGCTGTCTCCTTGACTACTGATTATCGGTATCTGCGCTGAAAAAACTAGAAAGAGTGACACTCTATGTGGTGGTAAAGGTCTGTTTTGATTTGATCTGCACTTTTGATCTTTACCATTGCACATTGATCTTTACCTTCAATCATCACATGTTTAACTATGCAAAATGCCAACGCCAAATTGAACAACCTTGATGAGCGCACAATCTAAGCTCTTTAAAGGTGAGGTCCATGACTTTTTGACTGCATACCAAAGTATGTAGAGAGCCAGAAGGAGTCTTATATAATGTGAACTTGTGATTGATTGATTGAGTTATTGATTGATTATATTTTGCATAGTTAAAATTTGTAGTTTTAAAGTTAAGCACCTCGGGCTTAAGGCAGGTTTTATTGATATCTTATATTGTATGCCACATATTGTGAGTCGCCTGTCATATTAATTGATTAATACAAAAATTGTGTAACGGGATCAATAATATCTACAGTAATTACATTTGCCAAGTCAAGAAACATATCCATTTCTCTGGCCGTCGCTTTGTCTTGAAAATTTGATTTGGGCAAATGAATGTCTTGAAAGGATCTCCCGTGACAAATACATTTAGAGGGTCATAAGTGAGAAATTAAGTCTTCTCTCGCGTATAATCGCACACACCGGCATAGCTAGCAGCCTGCGGAAGGCTCAGCGCAGCTTGAAATGTAGATTTGTGCATTCATGTGCCCCTAGGGGTATTTTCCCTTCTCTCTAACTGCTCCCAATTCCCCCGCCAGCCTGTCACATGCCTTCCCCCTGTGTTTGATTTAGCCTACACCACAACAATCAGGATGCAGCGCAGTCTTTTGTCGCAACAACACAATTGAGACGGATTCCTTTAGGAACAGCGACTGTACCTCGGCCCGTACAAAGGCGCGCGTCTCCACCGGGCTTTCTTCACCTACTAATTGATCT